TCCCCATGCCCATGACCGTCATGTCTCATGCTAACAGTCTAGAGCAGCGGTTCTCAACCTGTGGGTCGCGACCCCTCTGGCGGTCGAACGACCCTTTCACAGGGGTCGCCTAAGACCATCCTGCATATCAGATATTTACATTATGATTCATAACAGTAGCAACATTACAGTTATGAAGTAGCAACGAAAATAATTTTATAGTTGGGTCACAACATGAGGAACTGTATTTAAAGGGCCAGAAGGTTGAGAACCACTGGCCTAGAGGATGCAAATTCATTACTTTGGGAAAGTGATCATTTAAGCAGATGTTCATTTGATATACTTCAGGCCTCTATGCTCAGACCTGGTCTTTTTCATTGAGTGAAAAATAACATTCTAAACCATCACGTTGACTGACAGAGAACCAAACAGTCCACCAGGAAGTGTTACCTGAACTGAACAGAACAGGGATTGAGCATCTGTTATGCAACAGGTGTTGTGTCAGCCATGGGCTGGATCAACAGAAAAGGAATCTGTAAATATACTGATGGTACTGATAATATCTTTTCAGTTTTTCAACTGAATGCTTGTCATTTTAATGACATAGACTCTAATTTCTCAGGATCTTTAGAGTCACTCGTGTCTTTGTAGCTGATTAACCACAGAGGCTGCTGTCTCTAGTCACCTAACTTACTGCACATGCAGCCTTCGCTCCAGCCTCACAGAGAAGGGGCAGCAGTGGATTCTCCAGAATTGCCATGTTATACATGACTCGGACGACTGTCTTCAGTAGGTTAATATATTTATATAAGTGACTCTTTTTGTTTTCCAAGAAGATTCAGCAGTTTCACGGAGCAACAGCGAAAGCAGTAGTCACCTCTCCAGAACAGACCTCAGTCGTGGCAAGATTTATGCTTCACAAATAAATATTTAAAAGCAAACCGTAACAGCACAAAAACAAAACCATGGCACACACCCAAACCACCCCCGTTAGCCGGGTCCGTTTCTCCTGGGAATTATGTGATTCTGAAACCTATGTCGATTTTACTCTCTCCCTAGAGAAAAGTTTGGTGTCTTTAAGATTCAATCTCCACACACGTACTGTTCTGAAAAGCAAAATCACTAAAGACTGAGGCAAATAGAATTTGAAAGAACTTATTTTGTTTACTAGGTTCAACCAGAGAAACATTGAGATTTCTTAAAAATCTCCTTTTACAGGGGAACATTATTTCTTGCCTATGTGGGAAAAATTTATATATGCTCTGCACATAGAGTCACTCTTTGTCACATTGGATGATGGGTCACATCTATGGCAAACAGATGATTCTCAAGAGTCTAAGATTCATGAGCAAAGGTGTGCTGTGGCTGGGTGGTGAGCTGTTCTCAGTAGATGTTTTCAAAGAGAGCTGTGCCCCATAATTAGCCTGAAAGCCAAGTTATCCCCACTGGAGGGGACAGAATGACGTGAGCACCCTCTGCCTGTCTTTGAAGATGAACATCCTAGGACGATTGATTCTGTTCTTGACGATTCTGGACTAGAAATGATTTGACGGCTTGATTGGGGCTCTTGGAAAGGGACTTTGTTGAACTAATCTCTGGAAGAAAAATCTAGACATAGTCTTTATTAAAAATCTAGACACAGACTGTATAACTAATTGTTGAAAGAAAAGAAGGGGGAAAGAAAAAAAGGAGAAGGACTTTTTTCACTCAGACAAGAGCCACAGGAGTAATTAACCCCAAAGACGGAAATAGCAAGTGACCTTTGGTGAGGATATTTTCTGAGCATTTCAAACAGGATCAGACTGCTTTATAATTCTTCCGATGGCATGGAAAGTACTCTATTGTGGGTGAGAAATACCCTGTTTAAAATGAGCAAAGCCTTAAATTAATCCACACACGACAGCGTCTCTGGCCAGGTAGAATATTTCAACCCTGCACTTCCTGGCCTGTACCCTTTAGAGCAATTGCATTTCATAAATTTCAGGAACGTGCCTGGTGCAGGTGGTTGAGACATGGGAATAGTCATAAATCCGGGGCTCAATGGCCTCCAGCCTCCACAGTTAAGGCTCTCACGTGCTGGCCTTGCCACAACTGGAATTCATGCCGTAGAACAGCCTTCCACAGGTGGCGATTCAACAGCTTAGGTTTATTTCTTATCGCCATCCTTGAGAAGCAGCAGTGTAGAGGAATGTTAAAAGAGCGCTCTTTTCCCAGCGGGCTCTAGGAGGCTGCATGGAAGCTGTTTCTGAAGCAAAGATAATTAGGTTGAAATGTTCTACATTTTGTGGCCAAGGATGAATTCTAACTGAGCAAATGTGCACGGGCGCGGGGAGATGATACTGAGCCCACATCCCTGGGCTGAGCTTCCCAGAGAGACGGAGAAGGAGGGAACAAGCACCAAGCACGTTTATTCTCGTATCAGATGTCTGCAGCTCAAACCAAAATTTTCCCTGAACTTTTCCCCCTGTTACAAAACTGACCCATGTTCATCCTAGATTCTAGGACAGTGGTCGGCAAACCGTGGCTCGCGAGCCACATACGGCTCTTTGGCCCCTTGAGTGTGGCTCTTCCACAAAATACCACGTGCGGGTGCGCACGTACAGTGCGATTGAAACTTCATGGCCCATGGGCAGAAGTCGGTTTTCGGAAAGGAGATAGACGAAACAAGTATACAAGACGAGTGTGGATGGGAGAGTAGGAAGGGGTCGACCTCAGCGAACGTACGTCAATCAGATTGAGGACGTTTTTTAGCAAAGGCCAGCTTAGGAGTACCCTAATTAAGTTAATAACAATGTACCTACCTATGTAATTTAAGTTTAAAAAATTTGGCTCTCAAAAGAAATTTCAATCGTTGTACTGTTGATATTTGGCTCTGTTGACTAATGAGTTTGCCGACCACTGATCTAGGAAGTCCAAACACAAGGAAGTGCATTTCCTTTGCTTTCTCCATGGGTATGTGGAAAAACATGTCTTTTGCCTTCTATTTCATTTTGTGGAAGAGGCCTAAATAAAGATAGTACTCTTCTTAGAGACTGGTTTCAAAATGAGTAGGAGGGACATGAACTGAGTGGAGGTGAAATACATCATTTATCCACATGCGCATCCCCATTTGGGGGTTGGGGGACGGACAGGATGGAGAGCCCCAGTGCTCCTGTGTGATTAACCGTGGTGGACAGCCGCACCTACAGTGCTTTGAATGTCCGCAAAGCATCACACAGGCCACTCCGTTCATCTTCCGAGGAGGAGCCTTTTGTTTGAAGACAATGAATGAAGAACATCTTGGGCAAGGCCTGGTCCTTCCCATGTGCCGTGTTCCAGAGACCTCCCAGCTTTGGGCCAATGATGTCCTTCTGGGGTATGTTTAACTGCCTGTGTTGGAGAGTAGTCACGTTGCCTTCATGCGTAAGTCCTTCCACACCACCACAGAAGCACTGGCTGCGCGCCGGCCAAGAAAACATGCTTCAGGTGAAGGGGCTGAGGAAAATTTATTGCCCACTGAACTGCTTATGGCTTCCTGAAAAGTCTTTGAGATGGAAGAATAAGTCCAGTGTTCCTTAGGCTTGTCCAAATGTTTAGTTATTTTATATCCTGCTTCTTTTGAATAGTAACACCCATCATAGACATATGGACCCTCGACTGGTTTCTTGAATCCCATGTGACTGTTTTTTTTTCTTTCTTTTTAATTATGTAATTGAAGTAACCTTACCTGTGTCAGGAACCCTAGAACTTAAGAGTACGAGTTTTCCAGATCTCCTTTAAAACTGTTAACTGTTAACAAATACTAGGTTCAGTGATGATAGACATAGAATGTGCACCGTTTTCTGCCAAAAGCAGGTGTAAGTCAGACGTATGACATTTAGGACCCAGTCTCCAAGCCAGCTGGAATGAATGAGGTGAAGCAAAATGGGGACCTCCCAGGTCCTATGTCCTCTCTCCTCCACACAAGTGCAGTCTGGGATGCCCACCTGTTGGTTGGATCTGGTCTCCATCTCGCTGTCTGGTCCCCTTGGATGGGTGTTTCCTCTGACTGTTCATGTGGCCTTGACTCTGTTCTCCACCAGCACCTCCTTTGCTTCCTGTCTCTCTCAGATGAAGCACCACAACATGGGATGTAGCATCCCTTCACACCAGAAAAACTCAGTAGGAAGAAATAGCCTCTGACCCCATATCTCTACCCAGTGCTGCAAAGGGTAGGCTGCCCTTTGACCCTCTGCTTCCTTTCCCATCACTTCAGCCCACAGCCTGGGCAACTGCTTCACCCTTCAATTCTGGAGCACACGGCTCCAACCCTCACCTCATTCAGGTTTGCGGGGAAGGTTAGCTGGTTGGTACATTTCAGATTCAGGAAGCTGGATACAGGGCTGCTCTCAACATGACGGCAAAGCTGTTTGAAGAAAACACCATTGGGCCAGGACTTGAGCGGCCTGAGTTCTAGTCTCATCATTGCCAAGGTTCACTGAACCTGGCTGAGCCTGCGTGGAACTGCTGGTCCAGTGGGGGCTCTGTCACGACCAGATGAAGGGACAGATGCGGGATCCCTGGCACAGGCGGGAAAATCTGACGCAGGTTCTGGGGCTGTGCAACAGGAGACGGACTGCTTCACGAGGAAGTGAGCTTCCCAGAACTGGAGGAACTAAAGCAGAGACCAGGCAACGAGGTGCCAGGGACACTATGAAGGTAGAAGGCCAGACTAGGTGCCCGGAGTCTCGACTTGGTTTTCCAAAGACTGTGGTTTTCCAGACCGTTTCAAAGATAGTGATTCTTGGCACTGACCTGGAGTCCTCACCAGACTCTGCATCCGGTCATCTTGACCTGAGCCTGGTGTCACTGAGCACAGAGCACGTCTCTCGCCACCCTCCTCTCCAACCCCTGCACCTAAGCTTCTCACCTGGCTGGGCTTGGAGCGCTTCCTAAACGGGTGATGGTGTGCGGGTTCCTCTGACCCCAGCTCTGAGCCTAAGTCCTGTCTCAAATCCAAACTGGCTCCACCAATTTACAAAACTTGTTGGGAGAAGGGGAGGTGCCTACATGATACTGACAATGAATATGATTTGAATCTCAGTTTTGTCATCCAGGACTTTTGATGTCAGAGCACGCAAAGTTAAGGCAGACATCGAGACTATGAGTTTAAGACCCCTGGCCTTATTGTTCCAATGCTGCGAGAATAGCATAGGGAGCAGGACAGATGGAGAGACAAGACAGACATGAAAGAGAGAGACAGACAGACAGTGGGCAGAGGAGCCCCCATGTAGCTCCCAGGCCTGACCTTGGCAATTTCCCTAGTTTCTAGACAGTCTGACCAAACGGAATGATTTGGTCACTTCCATGAAGAGTTTGCCACTTTTGAGACGTAGTCCCCCCTTATTCATGGGGGATATATTCCAACACCCCCAGTGGATGCTTGAAACTGTGGGTAGTGCCAAACCCTGTATGTACTATGCTTTCCCCCCTCTACATACATACCTTTTCACATATAGGAAGCACTTTATGGCTTTTCTTTGGCATATCCAAATTGCCAGCACCACTGCTCTTGAACTTTGGGGCCGTTATTCAGTACAATAAGGGTGACTTGTACGCAAACACTGCGATACTTCAGTAGTTGAGCTGATAACTGAGGCGGCCACTAAGCCACTCACAGGCAGAGAGTGTATACAGCGTGGAGACACTGGACGAAGGGGTGATTCACGTCTGGGCAGGACAGAGCAGGAAGGCATGGGATTTCATCACACTGCTCAGAACAACATGCAATTTAAAACTTACGAGTTGTTTATTTCTGGAATTTTCCATTTATTTATTTTTTTTGGACTGCGCTTGACCACAGGTAACTGAAAATGCAGGAAGCAAAATCGCGGATAGGGGGGACTACTGTCTTCCAATTCATGGCTCATTTGAGAAAGAAAAAGCAGGGAGGAACAAGCCCCATACTGATTTTGTTGGTAAACATCAGCCAACTGTTTCCTTATTAATTTACCTTGGCAACACCTCTCTATTATGTAATTATGTGAAATTTCAGACCCATATTTACTTCTAGCCTACACATACCTTATGCTACCTCATGTTTTCACTACCATCTTGTGAGAAAGGACTCGCTTCTCTTAGTTCCTGCAGACGCTCAAATAATCCCATTGGGAGATAAGACACGTTGGCGCCGAACAGCTGGGTGGCCATGAGGTGCAGGGGTGGGGCCAGGGCTGTGGTGGGAGGAGGTCATGTCAGAGAAGGGAGGCGGAGGGTAGCAGGACTGCAGAAAGCTGCATGACCCACCCACGGGAAAGGCAGAAGAGGAACTGCTGAAATAAGAGCTAGAAAAAGCAAAGTGTCAAGTGCTTATTGGGAAAGAAGCAAATGTGAAATAAATGATCCTGGGAGGGAGACGGGACAGTTCTGGCCAGTTTGGTACACATCTCGGAGCAAAAGGGGAAACTGAGGCCTCATCATGGCAATCAGGAGGGTGTTGGAGACAAAATGGTGAAAATTCATGAGCAGAAAGCAGAGCATTTGCTAATACTCTTCAGCTCCCACACTGCAGCATCTTTAGCCCTGAGGTGCCCCCAGAGGTGCTGTCTTTGAACCTCACATGGAGGCGGAGGGAAGCCCTCCAGATGTTCTATGGATTCCGATCCAGGTGGGTTGGGACAGGCTCTGACTTGAGCATTTAGAAAAAACTTCCACTGTGCTTCTAATGCACAGCTGGGGGCGAGAAGCACCCTTCTCCACGCCTGGTCCCAAACTAGCAGGAGCATCACCTGGGAATTTGGTAGAAATGCAGATTCCCAGGCGCCAGCCCAGACCTACCAAATCAGAAACTCTGATGTGGGGCCTGGCAATCTGTGGGTTAATATCACCCCTCCCCTCCCCCAATGTGTATCTGACTCCCCTACAGTCTGAGAACCACGGCGCCAGAGACACCCAAAACTCGGTGCCGCTTCTCTTAAAAACAGCTGTCTGCCATCTTGCCCATTCCTCTCAGGAGTCCCTCCCATACCACCCTGTCTCCCTCACCCAGCCTGGGGCCTGGAGATGGCTCTGAGGGCTGCTGAGCAGCAGGGGGGTGTGGAACGTCCAGGGACACTGTTCACCTAAGAGTGTTGTAAACAGCATGCTTTTCTGCAGGTAGAAGTCAAGTCCCTGGGAAAAACACATCTTTCTTTAATTTGCACAAAGTCAGGATTTAGCCTGAAGGTGGGCCTCCTTTCTAGGCTCTCTTCTCTCCCTCTTCTTCCCATCAGTTGATTTACCTACAGAGAGAGCATTCCCCGAAGCCGCCCGGATGTCCACCCTCCACGTCCTCCACGTGTCCCATGCCTCAGCCCTACTTCCTAGACGGCGGCAGAGATCTCCCAACATCTGTCCTTCTCAGCACCATTTAGCACATGTCCCTCCCCCCATTGCTGGGCCCTTTCGCTCTCGCACACACGTGCGTGCCCACCTGCCTGCCCGCACACGCATGAACACGTGTGCATGACACCAGCATCCTTTCCAGCTACTCTGCCTCATGGGGGTAAAGTCCACACTCCTCAGCCTGGTGTCCAGAGGCTTCCTCCTGCAGCCCCTCCCTACTGCTCCAACCTTATCTCTCACCAGCCTTAGTTATGAACCCTCTAGCCAAACTGGTCTACTGGTAAAACCCCGATAAGATAAACAAGTAAAATGAGAGCCAGTGAACCCGGAACAGGTACAGGCAGTCACCGGGGTGTCAGGCTGGGACAGCTTCAGACACATCAAGTGCTCAGGAATCTGAACGGATATTCTCGGGTCTTTGAGTTAAATAGTTCCGCACTGAGGTCACGTGGAGAATGGTACCAAGGACTGGAACGCTCAATGGAGCGTTCCCTCTCCCTCTTCCTTTCTTTATGGCATTTCATTTGCTGTATTTTCCTTAGAGAGGCTAGCTTGAGAAATGATGTTGTGGTTATTTCAATGAACTGATACATTTCACAGAAGATTCCCCACGTGCTTGGATTATGGGAACAAACCTCAGTTTACTTCAGGTGTTCTCTCAGAAAGAGCACCCACACCTACCTTCATAACCCAAAGAGCACTGTTGCCATCTGGTGGCTGCTACCTGAAGCACAGGCAGAGCTGCATGTATTCATTCAACAAACGTTTCATGAACACCTACCAGTGCCAGGCAGGCTTTCTCCTGGCCACTGGGGGTACACTGCTGAGTCAGATACAGTTTCTGTAGACATACAATTGATTAGGCAACGTCAACAGAGAACGCTTGGGGTGCTATGGCAGGACATGGAGGTACGAGTCACATCATGGGTGGTCCTGGAGCCTTCCTGGAGGTGACATCTAGTCTGGGTGCTGAAAAGGCACAAGAAGGAATCTGGCCAATTAGGAGGGGGTCAGGTTGACCCAGGGCCTGTCATAACGCAGGTGGGCACAGGTATAAGCAGGCTGGGGCCTCAGTATACGGACCAGTGCAGATGGACAGGGAGCTAGGACCACTAAGGACAAAATGTTCAAGGTATAAGGCAGGGACAGCCGATATTTCTGATTCACATTGTCCAGTGGGGTGTGGAGAATTGAGGCTTGATTCAAGTAGCACTGCATCCTAGGAGGGTCTAGTTGGGAGGACCAGCCTTGTCTAGTTGGGTCTAGGTGAGCATCATACATGGATGGCTCCAATGGCTTCATGGAGCTGTGGGCAGGTTCTGAGCAGTGAACTTGGGGCAGAACCCAAGCTAGCAGCTAGGCTCAGCCTCCGGGGAGAGAGTTGGGGAAACTGGGTCAGATGTCAGCTCCATCATCATAAAGGTTAGTTCCTCTTTATCCTTGATCCCTGAACTGACTACAGGGCTTTTGGGGACCTCCATGCCCCACCCCCCACCCTGTTCTAGTGGCTTGTTTCCTATGGTCGTATTGAGAATAAATTCCAGGCTGGGACCTACCTATGGCAGGAATGCTGTGTGTTTACCAAACTTGTTTCTTTTTCCTCCTGTGCCTGTTCATTCCCCAGCCTCCTTTCATGTGGGTGTGGCCAAGGAAATGAAATTGGGAGTGTTTACACCACTTCTAGGTCTGATCTGTAAAAACCTGGCCAGCTGGTTGCAGACGATCCAGCAAAGGCATCTGAGGGGTGGAAGGAGGTGGAGTCACAAGACTGAAGGAGCCTGCGTTCCCAACTCACTGCATGGAAAGCTGCTCACGGAACACCCAGATTTGGATGGTCAGGTGAGTGAGAAAGAGACTTCTATATTGCCAAGCCCTTGAGATTGGGCTTTTATCCTATCTACTCTCCCCTCAGGACTCAATTTTCATTTCTACTCTGCCATTCTGGGGGCTGGGATCCTCCTACCTGCTCCTCCATACGTCGCCTTGAAAGCAGCTGCTGTTGAAAGTTCTGATTATCTTCTGCTTTGGGGGCCCCACGATTGGGCCCATGCATATGTCACAGAGCCCTCCTTCCTCTGTTGGGACTGCGGGGTGCTGACTTGCCTGGAATTCCACTGCAGTCTGCTGCCAGCCTCTGTGGATTCTGGATTCTGCTTCCTGCGCATGCAGCCGGTCTCCACAATCCCTTCCTCCCTCCCTCACCCGCACCCTGTGACTAGGAGGTGAAAAATGGCTGTTCCAAGCACTAGCTTGACTGAAAGCTCCAAGACTTGCCTGAAGGCAGTCAAGCCATCTGCTGACTCCCCATGTTCACCAGCAGAACTACGCCTCATCGTCAACATGTAGCCACATTCAGCCAGGAGGAGTGCCAGGAAAGATGCGATGACAATTTAGAAAGTGCTAATATCTGACAAGCTGAGATCATGGGTGACATAAATTGATAGAGGGGCTGAAATAGGACGGGCCATGTCTGGTCGCAATACCAAGCAAGAGCAGCCTGCCGTTGACAGGTTGTCCCGCCTTCTGATGAAACATACAGCCAGGGTCTGCATGGTAGCACTGCAGCAGAGCCCCCACTGTGTGACCGGGGCTCCTGGGTGATGCTGACGTACAGGTATTAGACTATCATCTAAAGAGCTCCACACTCATTTTAATAAAACCAGGCGGGACAGAGTTGGCCTAGATACATCATGTCACTCCCCTGCTGAAAGGCCTTCCTTTAACGGCTTCCCTTTCCTTTTGGAAGGAGTGGTACACTTTTTAATGGCCCACCAGGGCTTAGGTGGTCTGACCCCTACCTACCCTCAAGTTTGGTTTCACCCAGTTTTACATTTCCCCTTGCTCAATGCTTCCAGGCCCTGCTAGTCTTCCCGACATTCTTCAGGCACACCCAGCACAGTGCTAGGCACTTAGCACAAACTCAACAAATCAATGTTGATGAATGAACGAGGGACAGGGAGGCGGTTAGGAAACTGCTGCAATCTAGTGAGACAGAGCTGCACTTTGGGTGGATCCCTCTCTAGATACAAGCGCCGTAGGATCAGAAATCTAGCTTGTTTGTTGTTCCAGCGTATTCCCATGGCCGAGAACAGTATCTAACGCAGACTAGATGCCAATACATTTATGGAGTCAGTGGAATGAATGAGAATGAATGGCTAAAGGGAGAAGTGGCCAGAAGGAGAGAAATCAGTAGGCAGAGCCAATAGGGCCTGGTGATTAACTGGATGTGGAGGTTGGAGCTGGGAGAGAAGGAGGAGTCAAGGATGAGCCCAAGTTTTTGACTTGGGAGCGGAGTGGGAGGAGGTATCATTTACTGAGATGGGGGAACATGGGATGAGGACAGGAGGTTAGTGGAGAAAGGAGGCTGCAATGATGAGTCTAGTTTTAGATATTTCAAGTCTGCAGCATCTGTGGAATATCTGTGAGAAGAGGTCCAGTGGGCAACTCATTATATTAGTCAGAAACTCAGGGATGAGAACTGGGCTGGAGAGGATAGATTTGGGAATCATCAGCCTGTGGATATTAATTAAAGCCAAGTGAGTATATAAGGTGGCAGCGTAACAGGTGGTGTGGTTACCCAATGATATATAAAATATGGTCTCTGCCCTTACAACCAATACACAAGTCAAGATTTGACATAGACCTGAAAACTGTTTACAAACCCATCCATGTCTCCATAGCAACCTTGAAGAGCAGAGACAATTCTGCATTGTCACAGGGGCCGGGGGAGCACACAGGTGCTGCTGCCTCCCACAGGTCTCCTCACAGGAGATGTTCCTGCTTCACGTGGGTCCCACTGATAGTGGCACCCAGAGATTCTACTCTAGCTGGTCCAAACCTGTGCTTTCTCCCAGGTCTCCACCGCGGGGCCAAAGAGAGAGAAGCAGAAGGTCATCAGTCCTTTCCAACCTCTTTTTCTCAACATCTGCCCCTTCACCAGAGCCTTTCTGGGTGGCAGCAATGACCTACCTGCTAAATCCTAAGACGCTCTGGTGACCACTTCATTTGGCCTTTCTGCAACATTCCTCACCTTTCGGCATTTCATGCTTCTTTCAACTACCCTCCTGTGGCGTTGGCCAACAGAACCACAGACCACACGTACAAGTGTCCACTCTGCGTCAGAGCCCCGCTAAGCATGCCACACGGCACCTCATTGTCCTCACAACCACCCTGTGCTGTATGTTCAGCTATCGCCACTTTACAGATGGGAAACTGCGGCGTGGAGAAGTTAAATAGCTTCTCAAGACCATCCACGCTGGAGAGCAGAAGTGGCTGGATTCAAACCCCGTTCTTCGGAAAACAGAAAGTGACCCTATTTAAGCACAGAAGTAGGGTGCTGTTCCCGCTCAGATCAGCCCTCCTCCATCTCTCCGGGGTCCCCTTTGCTTCTCCCCTGCAAGGCTGCTCTTGCTAATGTTGTTCCATGACCCACTTCTCAGCACTCTACCTATAATCTGTGGTTAATTTTATTCTCCTGGCTTGATCCCATCCATATGCAGATGGCTCTTCAAACGCAAACTCCTTCTCTACCCCAGATTTCTCTCCTGACCTCTCCGGGGCTGGCTGCCTTCTGAGCATCTTTGCCTCCATGGCCACCAGAGGCCTCATGCTTCGCTGTCTCACCACTGAAGCCACAGTAATTTCCCTCCACTTGCTCCTTCTCCCAGGTCCTAACTGCTGTGTATGGCACCACATGACTCAATCAATAGAGCCAGAAATTGAGGAGTTATCCTCAATCACCCCCTCTCCATCACCCCCACACTCAACCAGTGACCAAACACTGGTGATTCTGCCTTCCCAGGCCTCTCTTCCCCACATCTAGGCCTACTGCTTTATTCAGACTGTCACCGCTTACCTGGATGACCAGTGGCCTCTTTGCTAGTGTCCCCATCTCAGGTATAACCCATCCAGTCTGCCTCCTGAGGGATACTTCTAAAAGCAAAGCTAAGCACACTGCTGCTCAATTTTAGGTCCTACTCTGGCTCCCCACTGATCCCAGAATAAAGTGTAAAGCTTCCAATGCCTTTCGCAAAGGTTAGCTATGCTCCCGCTGCCCAGCACATCTGTCCCCCCTCATCTGCTGGGTGAAGTCATCTGTCCAGTCTAAGCTCTGGCATCATTTGTTCAAACCTTCTTTTAAAAATATTTTTTTTTATTGATTTCAGAGAGAAAGGGAGAGATAGAAACATGAGTGATGAGAGAGAATCATTGATTGGCTGCCTCCTGCACGAGGGGATCGAGCCCCACAACCCAGGCATGTGCCCTGACAGGGAATGGAACCATGACCTCCTGATTCATAGATACACACTCAACCACTGAGCCACACCGCCGGGCTGTGCAAACCTTTTACAAGCACCTTCTTCCTACTATTGCCCCCTCTGTGCCCTACGTGTGTGTGTGTGTGTGTGTGTGTGTGTGTGTGTGTGTGTGTATCACCGCACCTCTAGCACCGATGGCACTTGGGTGTTCACATGTCTGCTTCCCTCTCCTAGAAGCTGAGCTCCTTGGGGGCAAGACCCGGACTTATATATGGGGATTCTATGCCCAGTGCCTAGTGCCTAGCAATTGTTCAATAAATGTTTGTTGGTTGAAGGAATGAAGGAATGGATGAGCCCATCTCACCTGACCCCATGTTTTCAGAAACTGGACAGAGAGTCCCTAAGATATTGCATGGTGTTTAGGAGATGGGGCTGAATGGGGGCCAGCTGAGGTTTGTGCCTTCCAAAAGGGGTCCCAGTATCTCTGCATGGAGATAAAGCCTCCCGCAGGCACACACCATCCCCCCTCTTCCTTATCGGCAACTCTGCACACCTGGAGGTGATCATCGGAACACAGATATCACAGCCGTGGGCTGGCTTGGGGAACTACGGACATTTCAACCAAGAAGTGACTTTAGATTTAGTGGAAAAAACACTGGGTTTAAAGCCAGAGGCTGGGGCTTGAGCCTGGCCTCTAGAATGTGTTAAACGTATGATTTCAGGCAGACTTGGAACATCTCTGAGCTTGTTTTTTCTGCTTGGACCAGGAATGGAAAGTCCTGCTCACCTACTCCCCAGGCTGGCGCTGAGGCTGCAGTGGGGTTATGGTTACACGTAGACGTTCTCTGGATTTGCATGGTGCCCCGGTGTCCTTTATGTGGGGTTCTGCTTGGCAGAGAGAATGTGCCCCACTGTCTTGAACCTCACCAGACACCAGGCTCAGCTCGGCAGCTGGGGCCCGTCAGCAGAGGAGCCAGGCACCGCTCAGACATCTGCACGGGCAGCCTTTAAACACAGGGAACACGGGGGAAATACCACAGGATTTATGGAGTGAAAGCTTTAAAAAGAAACACCAGACTTAAGTCAAAACAGTTGACCCAACTCTGGGGGAGGTGTCTGCCTGGATGTAGGAGAAAAAAAGATAGACTTGGAGTAGGTTGAGGCGGAGGGGAAAAGTGCCAGGGGGTGTCTAACCAAGTGGGGTAACGGCGCACAGCTCGGGGGAGGAAACACTGAGACTCCTTCACGGAGGGCGGCACCCCCCAGCATTTTGAAATGCACGTCTTTGGGCCCAGCGGTGCCACTTCTGAGAATGTCACGGGATATCCTCACACAAGGCCACAGTGATATGTACAAGGATGTTCAATGCAGTTTCATTTGCAGTTGGGAAAACTTGGAAACATCTTGAATACCATTCAGCAGAGGGCAGGGTAATTACGACACACCCACACGATGGAATCCTAAGTACCAGAGATGCATATCTCTAGGAACGAGTGCAGAAAGACAGTCTCGACACAGTGAGGGGAAAAGCCATTTTCAGAATGGCATGGATATGAAGACTTTGCTTTCATAAAAATAAAAAACATAGCCATGTTTATATATGCATAGAAAAAGAAATGGGACGATATACACTCATTCTTAACAGAGTTGGTCTCTGGGAGTTGGTATGTTTCATACAGTTCTGTAGAGTTGATTGTTTGTTTTGTTTTGTTTTTTGTTAATCCTCACCTGAGCATATTTTTTTCATTACTTTTCAGAGAGTGAGAGGAAGGGAGGGAGGGAGAAAGGGAGGGGGAGAGATAGATAGATAGATAGATAGATAGATAGATAGATAGATAGAGAAACATCGATGTGAGAGAGACACATCAATTGGTTGCCTCTTGCACATACTCCAACTCGGGTGGGGAGCAAACCA